TTGTATCGGAACATCTAGTATGATCTTCCATTGTTGGAATGAATTTTTTTTACTTCGTTTTTTTGAAAGTCCCATAGGAAATGCTCTTGTAGACATAGTATTGTATTTGAGAGATCTAAAGAGTGAAGATATGCAATATTGGTTTTTAATCCTTCAATATTGCATGTTATGATGTTTATGTTCTTACTTAAATTTCCTGATGGTTTGTTTTTCTTTCTGATAATTCTGGGGGTAGTCCTTTTTGGCTTGTGATCCGAAAATGGTGACCATTATTTGAAGATTGCTGTAGACCCATTAGATTGGACTCATCTTGTGTATAGTCTTCCTTTTGTACCCTGTTGGGTTTGTTGTTTATCTCTTCACTGACATTTTGAATTACTTCAGTTTCAACATTTTGTTCACAGTTGTTCTGAGGTAGTGTTTCATTATTATTCTCTTGGATGTCTGTGGTTGTACTGTGAGGTTCTATATCAACTGTATGCATGTCTATAGGTGGCTGCTGTTCATCTGTAGACCTAGACATCACCGATTCATTCGGGTATCGCATGTGCTGTGATGTTGTTCTGTTCTCAGTATTATGTGTAGGCATATTTTGTTGAAGTTGAGCACCATTGTAGTCTTGGTTGATATGCATATTCTGCCTTGTTGTTCCATATTCTGTTCTACTATTATATGTTGGAGTCCTCGGCATATGTCTGAAGTTATGTATTGTATTTGGTGGCATTTGTAAGTTATGCATAGAATTTGGTGGTGCTTGGATGAAGTTGTGCATTGGATTCATTGGCATTTGCATAAAGTTGTGCATTGGATTTGGCGGTATATGCATTGGATTTGGCGTCATTTGCATTAGATTTGGCGGTATATGCATTGGATTTGGCATCATTTGCATTAGATTTGGTGGTATATGCATTGGATTTGTGGTCATTTGCATTAGATTTTGTGGCATATGCATTATATTTGGTGGCATATGCATTGGAATTGGTGGCATACACATTGGATTTAGAACTGGCTGTGTTGGTATATGCGTATTATGGAATGCATAAGGTGGTGCATGCATATAGGATTGCATTACATTTGGTTGTATATAGTGACCGTTTCCAGGTAGTCCTTGGTATAATCCATGATGATGTGGTATGCTATGCCTATTTTGTAAAGCCATTTGTGTGGTTAGCGCAGTTTGGATACACATGTTCTGCATCATTTGGTTTTCCATTATTTTTAATCTGTTCTCTAGATGCATTTCCTTCATTTCGTTTTGTAACTGTTGGTATATGTATGTATTGTGTGTATCACTATTTGGTCCTAGTACTCCTACATGTATATTGTCTGTTATAGGTTGTTGCGCTTGGACATTTTGTTGCGATTCTTCTCTTCTAGTAACTGTGTCTAGGACTGCCTTCATGTGCTTGATTTCATTCTCTAGGTTAAGTATCCTAGTTTTTTGAGCAATGATAGTTTCCTCTTTGTCGTTTTTGCTCTTGGTGCCCTTTTGATTCTTTTTCACCAGACTCTCATTTGTTCTTTTCTCCTTCACATTTTCTGCCATGTTTATTGTTGGTCCTGTTTCATTACCAATGACTGGTCTTTGCTTTGATTTTGCTGTTCCTTCTGTCCTTTCATTGGTGGTAGGCTTAAAGATCAATTTCAAATCAGTTTCTTCCCTATCTATCTTTTCTCTCATCTGGTTTTGTATATTGTTAGACCTGGGTGGTAATTCTTGGTCTATACTGATGGTTATGGGATCAAGTTCATTCCTTGATCTGATCTGAGCATTGTGTTGTATCTCTTCTTGCTCATCTTGTGTGCTTCCTGTGTTGGTACATATGTCTATGTTATCGTCTTCTGTAGATGGATCACACTCTGTTATGTTTCTTCTTTCATACAATATATCATCATTACATAATATACAGATGTAATCTAACTGCTTCAGCTCATTTTCTCCAACTTTGCTAGACAGGTTTTCACATTGGTAATGGTACCAGTAGTCGCATCTGTCACAACCAATCCCTTCGTCTACGTATTTATTGCAGTACGGACATATAAAGTTGTCAGGGCTTGTGATGTTAGTATTACCAGCTGGATTTGACTGTTCATCTTTAAATTCAGACTGTTCCCTTTTTTTCCTCAAGCATGTTTCTGATCTGACTTGTTTAACTTCTGTATTGGCGGTTTGTTCAATACACAAGATCTCCTCATCCGGGTTATTAAGCCGTTCTTTCTTGTTCTTTTCCTGAGCTATTGATTTTCGTATGGTTTCTGAGGAACAATTTCTCAACTGAGATAGGTATGTTTGAATACTGTTGTTGAGGATGTTAATCTCTCTGTGGTCGTTGGTTAGCACTAAAAATAATAAACTATAATGTATATCTATATGAACAGATCACCATAATAAAAATGTGTAGCATGTATCATTTATGTGATTTAGAAATTTAGATGCAAAAAAAATTGGCACTGCTACCTGGTCTGTTATTTGTATACATGTATGCAGTCATAAGATGTTGCAGTTTAGATTGCATCTGCCAGACCACTATGCAATACTTGATATTTGTTTTAAACAAGGATTTGTATAGTAAGTCTTACAATACAAATCCTTGTTTTAAAGTTGTTCTTTTTGCTATTTAGGATGCTGGGACCTCCTCAATCTTAAGGCCTGTTGGCACAAATTATCTCAAATATGCTGTCATGAAAATTAATGAGTTTTATGTACCTGTTTAACATGTTTAAGATAAAAGGCCCTTTCGTGCTTATTGGCGCTATTTTGAATAGGGGGCTGATTTTCATACTGGAGGTAAAATGCATTGAAAAATACGGGAAAACATCATTGAAACAGAACAGTTACTTGGAAACATGCTGCATAGGATTTTCTGTACTTTCTTACTATTTCCACCTCTATCCAAAAAATCTGCCCCTATTCAATGAGGGGGGGGGGGGGGGGCTGGACCTTTATCGGGACTCTGGGATCGGGTGTTTTTAAGCTTGGGATTTCGGGATTGATCCTTTCGGTATCCGGGAATTCTTTTTTCGAATTTCGGTATGTCGGGATTTAAATTTCTTTAAAATCGGGACCTCAGGATTTCATGTTTTTAAGCCCGGGATTTCGGGATCAGGACCCCCACCTTACAATATGGCTGCAATAACAGTGAAGTGGCCTATTTACAAATTGTAATTAGATGGTTATGAAGGTTTAGTACGAAAACATACAGAGACGCATATTTACCACTGAAATTATGGATTTGAAGAGGTATGGAAAATATGTTAAAACAGGACTCAGTTTTTGACCCCAAAACATTTTTTTTTCTTGCTGTACATTGTGTACATGTATATGATTGCCATATTATTTGAAAGAAACCAAATAAAAGTTGTGATAGCAAATTTTGTTTCTGCTTGTACCTTTATAAAATTTGATACTTCTCAATTATTATTACAAGTTTATACATTTAAGAAGATGTTTATTTTCTATTGAATAGGCTCACAATTAAGGATCAAAATACAATATCCTACATTGCTTTAGACAAAAAACAATATTTAATTTTAACATGTTTAAGGCAAAGATAAAGTAGAAACAGTTTGAACAAACTTTTTATTTATATAAAAGAATTAAATGCTTTTTTTTTTGTTGTAATTTTATTGGGCCATTAAAGTGTTGACTGAAGCATTTGTTAAAAGTGGGGAAGCATATTATTGATAATAAAACATGCCTTGCAATTGTTGTTTACAATCAAAATAACTGAAACCTATGAAATGATGTATTATGATAATGTTCAGATTTTGAATACATTACCCCATCTCGCGCACACCCTGACAAATGTAGTGCTGTTTATAATTTGGCAATTCAATGGAATGGATAACTTATCTGTAGAAGGCACCAAGGACAGTGCTGCATGTAGAAGTTGGTGATAGATTCATATTGACTTGCATGTTAAAAGACAGTATATTAATAATCTGGATCAGTAGCTTATGACATTCTGATTAAACTACAGATCCTGTGTCCAAGCTTTGCTTACAAGGATCTGACAACACTCCATTTCACTTTCTGTTCGGGAAATAATTACATCAGCCAATGAAATTTCAGACATCAAATTTTAAAGGTGTGTATCATTCCGACAAACCCAGAGGATCACAAAAGTTCTTTGAAACAGAAAGTAGAGATTGGTATGTTTTCAGATCCTTGTAAGCAAAGGTTGGACACACAGGATCTGTATTTTAATCAGACTGTAGCTTAAGAAGAAATGCACATAATTAGCATGTCATTCTCATGCCTGATATCAGGGTTCTCACTAAAGATTTTTGAAGGCGAATCCAGGGACTCGTCATTTCTGGCCACGGTGAGTCCAACAGAAAGAAGAAGATGTTTTATGGCAATGCAAATTTATCATTTAAGGCTCCATGACCTAACAGAGCAATGAAATGAGATAAGATTTAGATTACTTTTATAGTTTTGCTATACAATGATGATATGTGTGTTCAGTTTATACAAAATATTTCAATCTTGATGCATCTTTGGACACACCAGTTTTAAAAATGGTGATTCCAGGTATATTTTCATGAGTCCAGGACTCATGGACTCTCCTTAGTGAGAACCCTGTGATATAGAGGGTGAATATGTCTGTTTGGTGACAAAACTACTACTACAGGAGGTACGATGCTGAATGACATGCTGAAGTACACATAATGAAAATAGAAAAAAAACATTATTCCATGAAACTTTTTTTTATTCTTCTTATTAAAGATATACATTATAGTTTTACTTTTTAATTACACATACAAAAGTATATGTATATACTGCACCACTATGCGATCTATGTGCCTAGTGCAGAGAAGTTAGATCTATATTTTGCCTTCATCAATCAAATCAAAGACAGATAATATCTCAGCATTATGCAAGCATGCAGATCAATTGCTGGCTATGAATATAGTGGTTATTTTGAAATTATGTGCAAGAAAATAATGTTAAAAATTATATGCTGCATTTGACATTTTTTCAAATTTATTTTGTACAGGTGCTGGTATTTCAATCTTTATTTGAAGTGGAGGGAGATCAGAGATTTAGTATAATAAGTGATGGACCAATAGATTTAACAGATGATCAAATGTTCTCACTTCAGGTATCAAATTTATATTTTTATACGACTGCAAAAATTTTTGCGGTCGTATATTGGTATGACGTTGGCGTTGTCGTCGTTGTCCGGTGTCATCCGAAGACACATTGGTTTTCGCACTCTTACTTTAGTTTAAGTGAATGGATCTCTATGAAATTTTACCATAAGGTTCAATACCACAAAAGGAAGGTTGGGATTGATTTTGGGGGTTATGGTACCAACAGTTAAGGAATTAGGGGCCAAAAAGGGGCCAAAAATAAGCATTTTTGTAACTTCCAGACATAACTTCTGTGTTAGTGTATGGATCTCTCTGACATTGTACCACAAGGTTCCATATCACAAAGGGAATGCTGGGATTGATTTTGGGGGTAATTGCCTCAAAATATTAGGAATTAGGGGCCAAAAAAAGGGCAAACAACAAGCATTTTTCTAGTTTCATGACAATAACTTGTGTTCAAGTGTATGGATCTTTCTGAAATTGTACTACAAGGTTCCATAACACAAAGGGAAAGCTGGAATTGAGTTTGGGGGTAATTGCCCGAAACGTTTAGGAATAAGGGGCCAAAAATAAGCATTTTTCTAGTTTCCAGACAATAACTTGTGTTCAAGTGTATGGATCTCTCTGAAATTGTACCACAAGGTTCCATATCACACAGGGAATGCTGGGATTGATTTTGGGGGTAATTGCCTCAAAATTTTAGGAATTAGGGGCCAAAAAAGGGGCAAAAAACAAGCATTTTTCTAGTTTCATGACAATAACTTGTGTGTAAGTGTTTGGATATTTCTGAAATTGTACTACAAGGTTCCATATCACAAAGGGAAAGCTGGAATTGAGTTTGGGGTAATTGCCCGAAACGTTTAGGAATTGGGGGCCAAAAAGGGGCCAAAAAACACATTTTTCTAGTTTCCAGACAATAACTTGTGTTCAAGTGTATGGATCTCTCTGAAATTGTACTGCAAGGTACCATACCACAAAGGGAAGGCTGGGATTGAGTTTGGGGGTGATGAATCATAAGGGGGTTTAAAAAAATTTGGGGGGGGATTTTTTTTTTTTTCCTTTTTTTTTCTTTTTTTCCTTTTTTTTTTCTTTTAAAATTTTCCATTTTAAGTTGGTTATTTCTGATTTATATTTAAAAGCAAATAATAATGATATGATAGGAGATACACACCAAACAGGATGTGTAAATTATTATATAAGAAGTATTGTGCAATAGCAAGAAATTTTCAATTGCACAGTATTGCACAATAGCAAGAAATCTTCAATTGTACAGTATTGCACAATAGCAAGAAATCTTCAATTGCACAGTATTGCGCAATGGCAAGAAATATCCAATAGCACAATATTGCGCAATAGCAAGAAATTGTCAATTGTGCAGTATTGCGCAATAGCAAGAAATATTCAATTACACATTATTGTGCAAAAGAAGATACTTCGTATAAATTGCTTATTTCTTGACCAATTTCAATGGGGTTTTATTCTTGAATTCTTGGGGTTCTTTAATATGCTGAATCTAACCGTGTATTAAGTTTTTGGATTTTGGTTCCGTTTTCAAATTGGTCTACATTAAGGTCCAAAGTGTCCAAAATTAAACTAAGTTTGATTTTAACAAAAATTGAATTCTTAGGGTTCTTTGATATGCTGAATCTAAACATGTATTTAGATTTTTGATTATGGGCCCAGTTTTCAAGTTGGTCCAAATCGGGGTCCAAAATTAAACTTTGTTTGATTTTCAACAAAAATTGAATATATGGGGTTCTTTGATATGCTGAATCTAACCATGTATTTAGATTTTTGATTTTTGGGCCCCGTTATCAACTTTGTCAACATTGAGGTCAAAAGGGTCCAAAATTAAACTTTGTTTGATTTCATCAAAAATTGAATTCTTGGGGTTCTTCTATATGCTGAATCTAACCATGTATTTAGATTTTGGATATTGGACCATAATAGGTGAATGTCCAATTTAAAATTTTTTAAGTTCTTAGACCACATTCATTCTGTGTCAGAAACCTATGCTGTGTCAAATATTTAATCACAATCCAAATTCAGAGCTGTATCAAGCTTGAATGTTGTGTCCATACTTGCCCCAACTGTTCAGGGTTCGACCTCTGCGGTCGTATCACACTGCGCCCTGCAGAGCATTTTATCTATAATATATTCATACAATGTATCATTAGAAAGCAATCTTTTGTAGTAAAACCAAATTAACCAGAAAAATTTAAGTCTATGATAATAATGATAATGAGGCAGATGCTTGACAGAGGCATTTATTTTTTCGGCTATAAATACATTAATTATAAGAAAAAAGTTTTGATATCCAAATGTTGCATTTATAAGCATATTATATCCAGAGTTCTCAAAATCTTTTTTTGCCTGGTGGTCCTTGAAGAAAATATGAAGATCCTCACTATCTTTTCTAATGCAAATTACCAAAATTGTGTTGGTCCTTCCCAAAAATGTGGTGGTCAAATCCCTAGGACCACCACTTATCGAGAACTCTGTTATATCATGTATATTGACTCTTGTTCTCAGAGATTCATAAATTATACAAAATGTGTACAACTCAAAGGTTCAGATATTGTGGGATGCAGACCTTATTTTGAAAGGGAATTTGTATTCATAAACAATTTCAAACTTTAGAAAAACCTTCTTAAATCCTATTAGGAAATGAGTGATTAAATTATGATATTTAGTATATCAATTGATAAGACCAAGGAGAATTGCCTCCCCTTACTCACTATGTATAAATTATTGTTATATGTGAAAAACAATTATTCTTCTATCCATCTTGTATGGGAAAGGATTTGTATAGGCTGAGCCTTTAACCAATCCCTTTGTTCAAATATAATTGATTTGAACAATAAAATCTTAGAATTGAATTGAGATATAGCATATAAAAAAGGAAGATGTAATATGATTGATAATGAAAGAGGATCTGGATGTAAACAACCATAGGTCAATGTACAGCCTTCAACAATGAACAAAACCATTTCTGTGGTGTATATTAAACTTTAAAAATTAAAAGGCCCCATCATACCAAATTTGAAACTATATGTATCCTTAAGAGAAAACTAACTGCCTAATTTATGCTAAAAAAAACAAACTGAAAAAACAAATATGACAGACAGGATTATATTCAGTTTTATCCATTGAATATCATTAATGAATATCTTTTTCAGTTTTGTATATTATAGTTTTTAGCTAGTTTTGTATGTTAAAGTTTTAAGTCAGTTTTGTATTTATTATAGTTTTTAGTCCCAGTGAAATCACCATATGAACTTATGACTGTAAATGTTTGTATTCCTGAGGGTGATCTTAGAGAAAATGATGTTAATAATAAAGATGTAGTTCTACAGAGATCAGAATCAAGTATGTAAATGAGGTTACTTTTATTTGTACTTATTTTGAATTCATATTTGTTTTTTTACCCATTCTACTCTGTAGGATTAAAGTTAGTTTAAAGTCATTTACCATAGTAGTTGTGTTCATATCAACTTGAAACATAGTATGCATGTTCATTATGATATGAAATATATACAAAATAATGTTTTTGACCCAGATTTCTTGGTTCATTGAAGACAAAAATGTATTAGTGTGAGCAGAGCTGGAATCCTATTGACACACATATTTGTTCTTGAACCTTCCACTACTCTGTAAAAAAAAATAAAACAAAATGTAGTCTGGTGTAAGGAAAAAATGTGAAGACATGATCACCTTAATGCCTGTTTATAAAACAATTTATACGAGTATACATCATCACTAGTATTGTGACCAGTACTAAGAAATAAATCATTTTATAACATCATTGACCAATGGTTGATAATAACTATCCATAACTATGGTTCAAGGTTAAACATTCTTGAAGGAAATCAGCATTTGATCCTTGACGACGAAAGGTATTTTCTCTTCATTAATTTTTTAATAATTTTTGTTTGATTTTTTAGGGAATACAGTATTTGCTTCATTTTCTGTGAAGTTTTTAACACCTTTGAGGCTAACAGTTGTATTAACACCAGGGTACCCTTCATTTGAACCACCTATTTTCACATTGTCTTCATCATGGTTGAATGGAGACCATCTTACCTCTTTGTGCATACAACTAGATAGACTATGGAATGAATGTCCATCAATGCCAATACTCTTCTCATGGATTGATTGGCTTGAACACAATATTTTTAGGTGAGTCATATTTTCTAATCCCTTTGAAAAAGTTCTATTATTTTTTGGAAATTTGAAAATAACATACTGTAAACTGGAAATTTTCACACATGGGTTATTTTCGCTTATTTTCTCGATCAAGTTAAATGTGAGAATAGTTTGTAAACATAAATATTGATATGAAGAGGAACTTATTGTGTTGTGTGAATTTACCCCAAGGCGAATAAGTTAAGACATTGAAATTGAGTCAATCATCTTTGTTTTGACTTGTACATTTTAGTATAAAAGTAAGAAGATGTGGTATGATGGCCAGTGAGACAACTCTCCACCAGGGACCTAAAGACGTAAAAGTTAGCAACAATAGGTCACCATATGGCCTTCAACAATTTGTAAAACCACCCATTACGCACAGTAAGCTAAAAAAGGCCCCTAAATGACCAATGTAAAACAATTCAAACAAGAAAACTAATGGGCTGATTTATGTACAAAACAATGAACGAAAAACAAATATGATAGACATCAACAAACAACAACTGAATTACAGGCTCCTGTCTTGGGACAGGCACAAACAGACTGTGTTGGGGTTAAAAATGTTTTTGGACCTGTTAACCCTCCACCTAACCTGGGACTGAGTGTTTTAATTGATGTGTTTTAATATCTCTATTTCAGTTATTTAGGTATCAGTGATAAAGTATTTGTCCAACAATGTGTTACAGATGATGATATTGACACCAGGGCTGTTCCAGATTGTGATAATATAGATGATACTGTTAATGAAATGCTCAGGTATTATACAAAATTGTGTGTCTATCTGAAAAATGTCTAATAATGTCTAAAAGTTACCCTAAAAGAAATGAAAGCATCTGTATAATAGACTTCGTGAGTACTAACTACTAATAACTAGATAAGTACATTGAGTGTTGTATTGTTTAATCCACCATTTTCTAAATGGGGAAATGCCTGTACCAAATCAGGAATATGACAGTTGTTTTCCATTTGTTTGGTGTGATTGAGCTTTTGATTTTGCCCTTTGATGGAGGACTTTCCATTTTGAATTTTCCTTGGAGTTCGGTATTTTTGTGATTTTACTTTTTCCTGAGTGTATGTGATAGTTAGCTTCATTTTCTGCGAAGTTCACAGAAAACTTGTATGATGAATCGTTTCAAAGCTGAGACATTTTCTCTTATCTGGTTAAAGTTTAATGGTGAATTGAGATTCATTTTTCGGAAATTTTGCATACCCTATTCAGCAATATTGTTTTATAGGTTTTTAACTTGAAGACTGTTAAAGGAATAGGAATGCCTGTTTTTTCGCCCAAGAAAATTAATTTTTTATTACTATCCAATTTGCACTTGATTTAGGGAAGTATATGAAAAAAAGAAACTTAAATGAATAAGACAATATTTTAAGTGTTATGATGTCATAACTATGTCTTTATGTGCACCCATTTCATAAAAGTGAAGAAAAATACTGATTTTTATGCTGTTTTTCATCTATATTTCCTATATTAAAAAATTATGAACACCCAACAAATTATTTTAGAGAAGCTTTCTTATAGCTATTTATTTAATCTCACCAGAAAAAAAAGTTATTTCTTGGATGCGCACATACTTATCCCCTCCAAAACATACTAAAATATTTATTGAAAACAAGAAAATCAAGAACTTTTAGAAATATACACATTTTCTCATGTTTTTTGTCTTGGTAAATAATCAAATGTGAAATTTGTTTTCATTGTTTTAGCACATCTTTGTGAAGTCATTTAACTATATACAATGTACCAAAAAATATATTCCATTATTTCAGGTATAATATGCAAGAAGAGATCACAGAATTCTTAAGATATGACCAGGAATGTGGTATTTGTTTTTGTGAAAAGTCCGGTAGAGATTTTGACAGGCTGCTACCATGTAAACACCATTTCTGTAGAGATTGTATGGCAGAACATTGTTCACTTCATGTTAAAGAGGGTACTGTTCAAAATTTATTGTAAGTTCTAGAGATTTCTTTTGTTTTGTTCTTTTTCCTCGTCATGTTTTTTTTTAATTTCTTTTCTTTTTTTTCACTGTTAGAAATGGAAAATATAGATATCTACAATGAATTAAATTATTGCTGAGGATAATGAATAGCTTCTTATGGCCTTAAAACCAAAAGAAATTAAGATTTTCTATGATTCCATTCACAAATTTGTAATGAATATATTAAATCAAATTCATGAATGTTTCTTTTTGTCATCGCTGACAATGATGTCTATCAATTTAAGAAACACTCCTCTGAAATCTCTGTGTCTTATGTCTTAATCAGAGTTTATATCTCTATTTCATTCTGAATTTATATTTGTGTACATAGGTAGCATGTGTTCAAGTGTAAAAAAAATCCCATGCCAGCAGCCCTATTGGTTGCCAAATGGGAAGTAACTCGAAAAAAACTTTTCTGTCAAAATTGATTTTTATTTCATGAGAGATTCTAAAAATATTGTCAACACCTGGAGAAGCATTGACGACTGTCTTGAATGGTGGATCTGAACTTAAATAACATTTAGAAACTGAAAGAAGCATCTCTGCCTTGAGGCTACCACCCTATTAGCTGTGTGTTATTTATATATAAAAATAAGGAGATGTGGTATGATTGCCAATGAGACAACTATCCACCAAAGTTCAAATGAAGTGGATGTAAGCAATTATAGGCAACCGTACGGCCTTCAACAATGAGAAAAACCCATACCGTATAGTTGGCTATAAAAGGACCGACATGAAAAATATGAAACAATTCAATTGAAAAAACTAACGGCCTAATTTATAACAAAACAATTTACGAAAAATTAACTTCACTTAGATTGTTAGTTTTCCCGCCGAAGGTCGTAGTTCTCTCCACTTATAAAAACTATGATATAGCCAACAGTGCTGAAAGGGGTGTTAAACACCAACAATCAATCAACAATTGTACATTTTTTGAAGATACCAATATTGTAGCTATTGTTTCCCTGCACGACCCTTGGCAAATAGGAGTCAATATAATTTTTAATCAGACCATATCAACATAGAGAGATTATCTAAGCCATTGCTAATGGTGTCCAAATGGTCTTAGTAGTTTATCTTCTAGCCTTTCAACGCTGAGGTTGTGAGTTCACTTGGATTGTTAGTTGCTGAAAGTCGTAGTTCTCTTCGGGCACTTTGGCTTCCTCCACTAATAAAAACTATGATATATTACCAACAGTGCTGAAAGGGGCGTTAAACACCAACAATCAATCAACAAATGCTGATGAATTTTTCAATTTTAGATGTCCAGAACCCAAATGTGAAACAGAAATCAGACCTTACATTTTAAAGGAAGTGCTGAATGATGATGATTATGAAAGATGGGAAAGGCTTATATTACAGGTTATTACTTACTAGTACTGTATTGTCAAGTTCACACATTTAAACCAGCACTTGGTTAATATACTGTATATGTACTTTTTTTTGCAAGTTCTTATTTTCGCGTATTTGGTATTACTGACATATTCGTGTGTACTTGATTTCATGGTATTACCGAAATTGAAAACAAAAAAATTTATAACGGTCTGTTTACTAGGATGTGAATATAAGTTTATATTTAGGATAGTAGGTACCCTTCAGGGATTAATGAGTAATAGTGTGAAAGAGAAAACTTTGAAACATCGATGGATTAAATTGGCAGAAGTATGTGTTCAAAAATAAACTTGGACATTTGAAGCTAAATTTTTCAGTTTATAAAACTGTTCACTTGTTATTTTGTCTGAAATTGATTTAATTATAGTTATGTTCATAAAATATTTAAATTTTCTTTAATCAAGTCTATATTTGTTTACCTATATAATACAAGCCAGAGTCCCTGTTTACAAAATTGACAAATTATTAGATCAATGCAATCATCAAAACTGTCATTTGTTTAAATGGAGATGATTCTCCCGATTAAGTTATTTATTGGCTCTTTGTGTGGATCACTTGTGTTGTTTTTACAATATCACAGTTCAAATGAGGCTCTTGATGGTAATCAAGGTAAAAATGCATGTACAATTGTCAAGATCATTTGGGATATTGTATTCCAGGTTTCTAATATGCATGAAAATTGTATTTATGTTCAAGTGTATTTATTTTTCGCGAAAATATACCTTCTGTGAAATTTTTGAAAATAAATACACCATGAAAACTACATATACAGTAGTTGGACCAAGTTTGTGTAATAACTCATAAGAGACTGCTTTAACAGTGAGAAAGGTGCAGATGTAAATGTTTTGATTCCTAAAACTTAACTTAAGAATGTGACCTTGTGAATTCATAAATCATTGTGTGCATTTATATATAAATGGGCATGTTGAAAATTGGATATAAATGATTCATTAATGTGATTTCTAAAATTACTGCTCACAAAAATTATTTAAAAATTTCAAATTCTGTTTTTCACCATTAAAATCAAAAGATAATTATTTGATATGCATTCAGGATTATACTCAAATCTGAAGAAAATTGAAGTTTTGTACATAATGAAATATCTAGGCTGATCTAATCTTGATCTAATTACTGCTAATTTCATGAAACAGTGTTTTCTTTCATTGTCATCCCTTGTTGCAGATAATGAGTTTCTATATATTAAGTATGCAATTTTATAGAAGCAACATATGAGTTTTTGTGAAAGGAGTTTCCAAAGGGGATTTCTGCCTTATTAAGGCCCTTTCAGCTGCCAAGCACCAAGCTTTTTTTCATAAATCTGACAGAAACATTGAATGGTTGAAAAATAGATGCAAGGCTACAAGGAGCCCCTATTTTCTTAAATTGGCCTTAAACCAAACACCTTTTTTTCCCATTTTTAGACTCAAATAAAAAGTTAATTATACCCCCGCTTTAAAAAAGTGGGGGTATACTGTTTTACCTCTGTCTGTCTGTCCGTCCGTCTGTCCATTTGTCCGTCCATCCGTCCCATGAATATTTTTCGTCGCATCTTTCTCAGGAACTACATCATAAGGATTTCTGAAATTTGGTTTCAGGGTTTATATAAGTCAGCTATACCGTGTCATGCGTTTTTAGATTCATCACTCAACAACTTTCTGTTTACCAAACTATACATCATTTTACACATGACATCCAAGTAGTTGGAAATGCATATTTGGGCGGGGGTATCATCAGTGAGCAGTAGCTCGCAGTTTCACTTGTTTTCAATATTAAATGTAGTTTATTATTTTTCAGCATGGATTAGATACAATGGGAGACATTATTTACTGCCCAAGATGTCAGAATGTTGTGGTAAAGGAGGAGGATCTAGGACATTGTTTGTCATGTCTGTTTACATTCTGTACAAAGTGCTTAGAGAAATGGCATCAGGTAAACTGATCTCGGTAGAAGTGTATTATTAGAAATTATTGAAAAATCAGTCGTCTTACTTTTGGCTTACTTTTCATTCATTATTATCTGTGGGATACCAATTTTCGTTGATTTCGTGGTTAAAAGGTTAACCACAAATTTAAATCTTCAACGAAGTACAAATTTTCTATAGTCTTTTATGCAGACTTTGGCAAAACCAGGAAATCATATATCCACAACATACATTTTTTCCTAAATCCTCGAAAATTGTTACCTACAAAAATAAATGAATCCACATTATATAAGCTGCGTCGGATAGAAATCGACCTTATGCAAGTACATGTATATATTTTGACTTTGATTGATTTTTATACGACCGCAAAAAATTTTGCGGTCGTATATTGGTATCACGTCCGCGTCGTCCGAAGACATTCAATTTCCGGACAATAACTTTAGTAAATGTAAATAGAAATCTATTAAATTTAAACACAAGGTTTATAACCACAAAAGGAAGGTTGGGATTGATTTTGGGGGTTATGGTCCAAACAGTTTAGGAATTTGGGGCCAAAAAGGGGCCCAAATAAGCATTTTTCTAGTTTCCAGACAATAACGTGTGGAAAGGTGTATGGATCTCTCTGAAATTAGACCACAAGTTTCCATACCACAAAGGGATGGTTAGGATTGGCTTTGGGGGTTATAGCTCAAACCATTTAGGAATAAGGGGCAAAAAAGGGGGGGAAAACAAGGGTTTCCTGGTTAATGGACAATTACTTAAAAGTACTATGCTATGTTTGGATTACCTCCCTTACACTGCTTTTAAATTATGTATAAAGAAATGTTGTATTGTCTTGAGGTGATTAGCTGCCAATTTATTTTTATACGACTGCAAAAAAAATTTTGTGGTCGTATATTGGTATGACGTTGGCGTTGTCGTCTGGCGTTGTCCGGCGTCGTCTGAAGACACATTGGTTTTCGCACTCTAACTTTAGTTTAAGTGAATGGATCTCTATGAAATTTTACCACAAGGTTCAATACCACAAAAGGAAGGTTTGGATTGATTTTGGGGGTTATGGTACTAACAGTAAAGGAATTGGGGGCCAAAAAGGGGCCAAAAATAAGCATTTTTCTAGTTTCCAGACAATAACTTGTGTTCAAGTGTATGGATCTCTCTGAAATTGTACTGCAAGGTACCATACCACAAAGGGAAGGCTGGGATTGATGATGGGGGTAATTGCCTCAATATTTTAGGAATTAGGGGCCAAAAATAAGCATTTTTGTAACTTCCAGACATAACTTGTGTGTTAGTGTATGGATCTCTCTGACATTGTACCACAAGGTTCCATATCACAAAAGGAATGCTGGGATTGATTTTGGGGGTAATTGCCTCAAAATATTAGGAATTAGGGGCCCAAAAAGGGGCAAAAAAACAAGCATTTTTCTAGTTTCATGACAATAACTTGTGTTAGTGCATGGATCTTTCTGAAATTGTACTACAAGGTTCCATATCACAAAGGAAAAGCTGGAATTGAGTTTGGGGGTAATTGCTGAAACATTTAGGAATTGGGGGCCAAAAAGGGGCCAAAAATAAGCATTTTTCTAGTTTCCAGACAATAACTTGTGTTCAAGTGTATGGATCTCTCTGAAATTGTACTGCAAGGTACCATACCACAAAGGGAAGGCTGGGATTGATGATGGGGGTAATTGCCTCAATATTTTAGGAATTAGGGGCCAAAAAGGGGCAAAAAACAAGCATTTTTCTAGTTTCAGGACAATAACTTGTGTGTAAGTGTATGGATCTTTCTGATAATGTACTACAAGGTTCCATATCACAAAGGGAAAGCTGGGTTTGAGTTTGGGGGTAATTGCCCTAATTGTTTAGGAATTTGGGGCCAAAAGGGGCCAAAAATAAGCATTTTTCTAGTTTCCAGACAATAACTTGTGTTCAAGTGTATGGATCTCTCTGAAATTGTACTGCAAGGTACCATACCACAAAGGGAAGGCTGGGATTGAGTTTGGGGGTGATGAATCATAATGGGGTTCAAAAAATTTGGGGGGGGGGGATTTTTTTTTTTTTCCTTTTTTTTCTTTTTTTCCTTTTTTTTTTCTTTTAAAATTTTCCATTTTAAGTTGGTTATTTCTGATTTATATTTAAAAGCAAATAATAATGATATGGTAGGAGATACACACCAAACAGGATGTGTAAATTATTATATAATAAGTATTGTGCAATAGCAAGAAATTTTCAATTGCACAGTATTGCACAATAGCAAGAAATCTTCAATTGCACAGTATTGCGCAATAGCAAGAAATCTTCAATTGCACAGTATTGCGCAATAGCAAGAAATATCCAATAGCACAATATTGCGCAATAGCAAGAAATTGTCAATTGTACAGTATTGCGCAATAGCAAGAAATATTTAATTGCACAGTATTGTGCAAAAGAAGATACTTCGTATAAATTGCTTATTTCTTGACCAATTTCAATGGGGTTTTATTCTTGAATTCTTGGGGTTCTTTAATATGCTGAATCTAACCGTGTATTTAGTTTTTGGATTTTGGGCCCTGTTTTTAAATTGGTCCACATTGAGGTCCAAAGGGTCCAAAATTAAACTTTGTTTGATTTCATCAAAAATTGAATTATTGGGGTTCTTTGATATGCCGAATCTAACCGAGTATTTAGATTCTTAATTTTTGGTTCCGTTTTCAAATTGGTCTACATTAAGGTCCAAAGGGTCCAAAATTAAACTTGTTTTGATTTTAACAGAAATTGAATTCTTAGGGTTCTTTGATATGCTGAATCTAAACATGTATTTAGATTTTTGATTATGGGCCCAGTTTTCAAGTTGGTCCAAATCGGGGTCCAAAATTAAACTTTGTTTGATTTCAACAAAAATTGAATATATGGGGTTCTTTGATATGCTGAATCTAACCATGTATTTAGATTTTTGATTTTTGGGCCCCGTTATCAACTTTGTCCACATTGAGGTCAAAAGGGTCCAAAATTAAACTTTGTTTGATTTCATCAAAAATTTAATTCTTGGGGTTCTTTGATATGCTGAATCTAACCATGTATTTAGATTTTGGATATTGGACCATAATAGGTGAATGTCCAATTTAAAATTTTTAAGTTCTTAGACCACATTCATTCTGTGTCAGAAACCTATGCTGTGTCAAATATTTAATCACAATCCAAATGCAAATCTGTATCAAGCTTGAATGTTGTGTCCATACTTGCCCCAACTGTTCAGGGTTCGACCTCTGCAGTCGTATCAAGCTGCGCCCTGCGGAGCATTTTATTAGAAGTTACTATTAAAAATGCTGATTAAGGAATATTAATTTTAGCCATGATTATGTATGTCATTTTCTATTTTAAGACTTTTATGATGTATTTAAATGGGTAATTATAGTTGCAAACTCCATTGGAAATTTGAATTGGGGGGGGGGGGGGGGGGGGGGTCAATTCGCAACAGCATAGTGTATTGCAAAAAAGCCTAAAAAAAAATTTTTTTGGGGGGGGGGGGGGATGGGGGAGTCAATTCACAACAGCATAGTGTATTGCACAAAAGCAAAAAATTAAATATTAATTCAAATCATATAACCAATTCTAAGTTCTTTGACTACTTTGACTACAGTTATTCTGTGTCAGAAACCTATTATGTGTCAAATATTTAATTACAATCCAAATTCAGACCTGTATCAAGCGCAAATATTGTGTCCATTTTTGCCCCAACTGTTCAGGGTTAGACCTCTGTGGTCATATCCAGCTGCGCTCGGCGAAGCAATTTATTAAACATTCAAATACAAAATAAAAGACAAATTGTGGTCTGTTTTGTAGGGTTCTTATAACAACTCAATTTTCAAACAGTTACAGATTATGCAGAGAGATTTTTCAACCCATAATAGGTTAACAGATCTGTTGATATTCATTAGCATAAGGTAGATTTCTATAACATCAGTTCAAAATTTTATGTTTTGAAAATACAACAATATCAATATGTATGGCACTTATATTATTATCATTGTTTCAGATGACGTCAAATCTTTGTGATGCATTTACATAAATTATACATATACATTCCTATATTGTTCATATATTGACTGCATTGCAGTTGTTGATATACTTCTAATGTAAAAATCTTACATGTAATTAATATAAAGAGAACTCTGTTTAATTTTAGAGCTCAATTTAAATTATTATTAACACCTTCCATTGTGCGATTATCAATTAAGCATTATTATTTCCAGGGAGATACTTGTTTCTTTGAAAAGGAAGTGGAGGGAGATGAAGATAGTTCTGGTAAAAATGGATCTAATGAGTCAGGCTATGTACATGTTGAGGAAAGCGAAGATGAACGGAAAAGGTTGCGAAGGCAGAGAAGAAAGGAAATGAATTTAAGCTATCAACTAATTCGTGCCAGAACCAGACAATGCGCAAAATGTAAAGCACCTATTGAGAAAAATGGTGGGTAAGTGCACTGCTTATTGACAGCTCATAAGATGGTGTGATTTCGTTTTTTTTTTTTTTTTACATTGTTGTTTGAGTTATAATTGTTATTCAGGGTTGTTTTTGACTTGTCTGCTGGGTCACCTGTTATTAAATTGTAATGTCCACAGATGGGTTTTTTTTTCACTTATTTTTAGCTACCTGCAATTTTTCAAAAAAATCTGCACTTGGTGAAAACGGGTAGAAAAGGCAACATTTCTAAAATTGTATGGCTTTGTATGGACAGTGCAGATATATGTTACATTGAATTTTAGAAAATTTCACCTCTAAATTAAATCTTCTTTGTACCTTGTAGAATGAAAACAACTATTGCACATCTACACAGGATATAAAACAGTATTGTATAAAATTTAAAAAAACACTGATGAAAAACTGAAACTGGAGTTCAGTCTAAAAATCTTTCAAGAAACAGATTACACTACTGAATCTTGTGCAAAACAATATTTTTCCCCTCTCAACATTTATAATTTTTTTAAATATTTAAAACTCAGGAGCCTCACGTTTTAAATTAGAAACTTAAACTGTCTAGAATGGAGACAGACCATATTACAATTGATGCAGTGGTAGAATCTATATACTGGTATATATCTATATACAAGTCTATCATGAGACAAGTACCACACCAAGTAGAACTGAAAATACCTATATATGAAGTTGCATTGATAATTATGTCGTTAAAATAAAAAGACTGCACTAAAATTGCATGAAACAGAATAAATATTAGATTATCATGATGTAAGTTTATCATTATTAAATGAATTTTTTTTCAGCTGCAACAAAGTGACATGTTCCAAGTGTGGTAATGCCATGTGTTGGGCTTGTGGGAGAGATATAACCAAGATATCTTATGCACATTTTTCTGACAACCCAAAATGTGGAAACTTTACTATAGATGATGATATTTTACAGATGCCTTTCAGAGATCCAACTCCACAGGTAAATTAATTGAAAGTAATTATTATCAAAAAAGGATAATTTTATGCATAGCTATTAAAGAAATTCAACATGCTTTACAAGCTGTATGTTGTTTTCATTACTACAATGGATCTAGAATACAATTAACAGTATATCTTTTAATATTGATTTGATTGATTATTGGAGTTTAAAGCCACTTTCAGCACTTTTGGCTGTAATGTGGCAATCAGTTTTTATTGGTGGAGAAAGTGGGAATTGCCAGTAGAAAACCTTGACCTTTGACAGGAAAACTGACAATCTTAATCATTTAAGATTGGAGGTGAACTGCCATGTGTGGAGTTGGAACTCTATCTTCCTAAGGTTTATTACTAAAAACCAATTTAGTTTGAAAGATTTAAGTCTAAAATCAATTTGTAACTTTAGTCAAATACTTACCAAATGAACAAGTGGTTAACAACTGATACAATCAAGAGTTGGCAAAATAAAGAATCAAAAACTTGAATAATATGTTTCAATTTGTTTTGATTTTTTTTTAAACTGATAGCATATTGAATTAACCAAGATTAATGATTCAAGATAAATTGAATGTTTATTTAATCATTTAATTAATTGACATTTTGTAGAATTATACTGAATTTGTAAATACTTCTTTTTTTTTATCTATATAGAAAGTAAGGGAAATAGAGGAGGCCATTTTAGAAGGTGGAGTAGTTGCAGAAAGAAATGTAAAAAGATGTCCTCATTGTCGACAGAGAAATTTAAGAGAAAACAGAAACAATCATATGAAATGTTGGAACTGTAAAAATAGTTTTTGTTTTCTTTGTTTTGAATTGATAAAACCACCATATACCAAACATTTCACGAATACTCTTTGTAAACAACACTCAAAGCATGATGTAGAAGATATGCAGCCAAGAAAACCAAGAAAGAAAGCTGATATGAATAGTTAATAGAAATTAGAAGTTAAGTTTAAAATGAATCAAAAGGTATCAATACCAATAATCCAAATGACAGTCAATATTTATGCCCCCGTCGTAGCGGAGGGGGCATAAAGTTTTACCCTTGTCCGTCTGTACGTATGTCCATCCGTACGTCCCGAAGTTGGTTTCCGTTCTCTAACTTTAGTTTGCCTCAACTAAATGTTATGAAACTTATACACAATGCTTATTACCACATAATACAGATCAAGTTTCGAAATTGGGTGGCGTCACTTTTACCGTTCTTTAATTATGCCCCTTTATAAACATAAAAATTGCTGAATATTTCGTTTCAGTTCTCTAACTTTAGTTTGCCTCAACCAAATGTTATGAGACTTATACACAATGCTTATTACTACAAAACTCAGATCAAGTACAAATTTGGGTAGGGTCACTTTTACCGTTCTTCAGTTATGTTCCTTTATATCTTTATATGATATGCAAGCGGGAGCATCATCTGTGTCCCATGGACACATTCCACATTTATTTTTTTAGTATTAGTTAAAAATATTTCAAACCACAAATTATAAACTGTTTTAAGAGGAATGCAATGTTTTAAAATATAAAAAAACCCAGTAAAAATAGTATTAAAATCATCAATAAAAAGTTAGATAATGAATTAGAATAGTAGAAAATTGTTTCTGAAGTTTACTGATGTTTTTAACAGTCTTGACATTCACTTTACCTAGTAGGATCAGGTCTTTTTATATGACCGCAAAATTTTTGCCTTCGTTTTATGTTATGGTAATGTCTGCTTCATCGTCCGAAAACATTATGGTTAGCAGACAATAACTTGAGTATTAGCGTATGAATCTCTATAAAATTTTAGTAAAAGGTTCTATACCACAATAGGAAGGTTGGGATTGATTTTGGGGGTTATTGTCTTAGCTGTTTTGTAATTCTGGGTCAAAAAGTGGCCAAAAACAAGCATTTTTCCGGTTCCCAGACAATAACTTTGTTCACAGACAATAACATGAGTATAAGTGTATGGATCTCTATGAAATTTTAGCACAAGGTTCCATACCACAATAGGAGGGTTGGGATTGATTTTTTTGGGAGTTATTGTCGTAGCTGTTTAGTAATTAGGGGCTAAAAAGTGGCCAAAAACAAGCATTTTTCTGGTTCGCAGACAATAACTTTGTTCACAGACAATAACATGAATATAAGTGTATGGATCTCTATGAAATTTTAGCACAAGGTTCCATACCACAATAGGAGGGTTGGAGTTATTGTCATAGCTGTTTAGTAATTAGGGGCCAAAAAGGGGCCAAAAACAAGCATTTTTTTTGTTTTATGTATTAGAGTATGGATCTCTATGAAATTTTACCACAAGGTTCCATATTTGAACAGAAAAGTTGGGATCGATTCTGAGGATCATGGCCCAAACCGTATATGAATTAGGGTGCGAAAAGGGGCCAAAAAACTAGGATTTTTTAGTTTCAGGACAATAACTTGAGTATAAGTCTATGGATTGCTATTTATAATATATTGTGGTAAGATATGGTTGGCATGCCTGAATGAAATTTTAAAAATAGAGTATATTAAGAACAGCAAGTGTTAAAAAGCAAATTGAGATATTGAATTAAATAATTTTGAAATAAATGTAAATTTAATTTTTGATTAGATATGATATTAAATATATTTTTTCTTTAATTAAGTCTCCCAAACGAAGTTTGGGAAGACTTATTGGTTTTGCTCAGTTCTTCTTCTTCTTCTTCCTCTTCCGCCGCTTTTAAATTTGAACTTGTCCGCACCTGTTCTCCAAAACCGCTTGTCAGATTAACTTAGGGTTTCACAATATTTTAGACTAACATGTCTAGTGGTGCAATCAGGGTTTTGTTTGTGCAATGGGGTTTATAAAGGGGCACTTTGAGGGGCAAAAAGAAAGGAAGGTTTTACTATAGAACCCTATGAGATTTTATTTTTTAAAATTTTCAAATGATTATAAATTGAAAACCAATTGTGATAGACACAATCTTTTTAATTGAAAATGTTTTAAATGATAAAGCACATTAAATGAAATACAGGGTAGATCCCCAGGGGTCATCCCCACCCCCTGCCATTTAAGAAAGTTCTAATATCTTGTAAATGGTCGAGATCCCCACCCCTTAACCATATGTATTCTGGTTTGTCATGCTAAGATGGTTTGAATGATATACAGGGTAAGTCCCTAGAAGTCATCCCGACCCCCTGCCATTTGAGAAAGTTCTAATATCTTGTAAATGGTCGAGATCCCCACCCCTAAACCATATATATTCTTGTTTGTTATGATAAAGCACATCAAATGAAATACAGGGTTAGTCCCCAGGGGTCACCCCCACCCCCTGCCATTTAAGAAATTTCTAATATCTTGTAAGTGGTCAAGATCCCCACCCCTAAACCATATATATTCTGGTTTTTCATGCGAAGATGGTTTGAATGATATACAGGGTTAGTCCCCAGGGGTCACCCCCACCCCCTGCCATTTAAGAAAGCTCTAATGTCAAGATACCCATCCCTAAACCATATATATTCTGGTTTGTCATACCAAGATGGTTTGAATGATATACAGGGTTAGTCCCCAGGGGTCATCCCGACCCCCTGCCATTTGAGAAAGTTCTAATATCTTATAAATGGTTGAAATCCCCACCCCTAAACCATATATATTCCTGTTCATCATGTCTCGAACATTTGAATGCCGTATAGGGTCAGTCCCCAGGGGTTCCCCCCACCCCCAATGTTCTAGTATCTTGTAAATGGTCGAGATCCCCACCCCTAAACCATATATATTCTGGTTTGTCATGCCAAGATGATTTGAATGATATACAGGGTTAGTCCCCAGGCATCACTAATGCATATAACTTTACTGGACCAAACCAATTTTCACTGGACTTTGTCAAATGTCAGGCGACCCTGGGAATTACAAATTATGGGAGCTTCGTTTGGTAGACTTCGTAACAGCATCGTTACAATCATTTCTTGTTGATATTTGCAGTATTCAAACATTTTGAAACAATGTTGCAACCTGAATAATGTTATTAACCAGGAGTTGTGCATTTGTCTGTTAAAGGGTAATGTAATGATTACATCCATGGGGAAAAAAGGAATTTCCACTATGCAGAGAAAGCATTAAGTTTTACCCTTGACAATCTGTACGTCAGTCCGTACGTGTGTACGTCCGTACGTCTGGAAATTGGTTTCCATTCTCTAACTTAAGTTTGCCTCAACCAAATATTATGAAACTTATACACAATGATCATTACCACAAAACACAGATCAAGTTTGAATTTTGGTGGCGTTACTTTTACTGTTCTAGAGTTATGCCCCTTTACAAATGGAAAAATTGCTGAATTTTTCATTTCCGTTCTCTAACTTAAGTTTGCCTCAACCAAATGTTATGAAACTTGTACACAATGCTTATTACCACAAAACTCAAATCTAAGTATGAATTCGGGTAGTGTCACTTTTACTGTTCTTGAGTTATGTCCCTTTATAACTTTATATGCAAGCAGGGGCATCATCTGTGTCCCATGGACACATTCCCCATTTATTTATGTATATCTAGTCTGCCTGTTTTGATATCGAATTACAGTAGTAGAGGAAAACTTGTTTAAACTGCAATACTATTAAGAAACATTTTTGTAATTATAGAATACCTAATCAAAGAAATCAAAAAAAGAAAAGTATTCAATGAATGACCGAACAACACATTAATTCATGAATGCACATAGCACATGAGTTAATTATCTGTGTTGTTGGCCACAAACAGAATACTTTTCAATATTTGATTTCCTTGATTAGTTATTCTTTTTATGACATTGACAATGGGCTTTTTAAGGGAAATAAAGTAGAAAATGCAAGGAACTATATCTTTTTCTACAAATTCACAATTTGCTTTGATGTAACGTCATCGAAACGTCTTACCAACACCTATTTTCGTATGACATCAGAGGAGTGAAATTATTGGTTTTTTATTTCACTGGGAAATCACGATAATTCATTGCAACCAATGTTGTAATATAATTTAATCATTTCTCATGTATTTTCTGAAAGTTCAAGAACTTGTGTATACATACATTTTTTAAAAGTTATATTTTGTGGTTTAATCACCATTTTCAAGTGTTTATGTCTTATGTGTCAGTTATTACAAAACCTGTTGTTAATTGAACACTATATTTATATTTATCAGAATTCAAGATATATAATATATCTCATGAAGTATTGCCTCTATCTTATAAAATATGTCAATTTATAAACTTTATATCCTGTAGAAATCTATCTTATTTTTTGTATTCTGTAAATAAGAGATTTGAAATTCTTCTTGATTTATTACTTTTAAAACTTAAGAACTTACAATATATGTATAGTTGGTTCATGCCAAAAGATGAAAATGGCCATCTTACACAATTGAAATTATGATATTATCCATTGATTCAAAGAAATAAATAAAATTTAATTTAATTTCTCATCCCCTCCCATTTATACACATTTTCCACAATCAAAAAATATTGCACATGTATTTACCAGATTAATAATCATAATTTTATTTATTCAATATTTGAGTAAATACTCAGTCATCTACTTAATGATCTACACATTATTTGTCTGAGGAAAATAGTTGATTTTATGATAGCTCTAGAACATCTTTTGTTTTTTGCCATGAAAATTTTGGATAGTTTGTTTCTATTTCAAATTAGTAAACAACATTGATTTAAAAAAGATGTTGTTCCTGTATTTAACTAGGGAAAAAAATAGTTTGTATTTTTATTATTAAAGTTTAAAACAATTAGTTGTCCTAAGAATAAAAATGTCTCACACATGATGTGTGGATGTGACCTTGTATTAATATTATTACTTTTGAGTCTGTGATAATAATTTGTATTTATTTATGACATTGTGATAATTTTTTTAGTTTACCTCAACCGAGTCCTTAAATCATTTATCTATAAAATTATCTTATAATGAATTTTTAAATTATTTTTATCTTACTTTTAAGAAATGTAATAAATTTAAGAAAAATATTTGCAGTTATTTTTATTATTATAATGTGGCAGGTTGTTTAGACATCGATGTTTATTGTAGTTACTGTAGTAACATGGCTTTAATAGCAATGTGATCTTTTGCCAATCTTTCTGTTGTTTATGAACACTTGGAACTCTATGACACACAAGGTCAACTTAGAAGATATGTTCCTTACACCATTTTTGCAAGGTTGTTGGAAAAAATGTTGTTACTGTGGTCCTTACAAGACAATTGATATGTTGAATACAGCTAAACATAAGTTTTAATGAAAGTTGTCTTTTGAATGTCTTAACCAGTAGAAGCAAGATGTGGCTGAATGTGTTCTTGTAAAGTGTTAAGTGTTTGTGGTTAACCACCCATTACAGCCTATGGTTATAAACATTGTATTATATTGTTGAGCAATTGAGAAATGTGTAGAAAAATCTTAAATAAGAACTGCTAAAGAGGTTTAAGGTCAAGGAACAGTAAATTGGCTATGTCACAGATTTTACTACAACTTTGGCTCATTAAACTATAAATGAAAATCGAAAAAATAATATATTTATCTCTTTTATTATCTGAAATATTACTGATTGAATTTTTTCAAAATAGGTGAACATTTGTATAGAAAGCACGTAAAACCAGCGAAAAATTGTCTTAAATTTGTCCTAAAATCATGAAATCTCCAATTTCTTATACATATACTTTTATTTAAAAACTATATGTTGTTAATACATACGTTTTAATGATGTAAAATAATTATAGGGTCACCGACATCGATTTTGAGTACACATCATTCAAAGTGGTGTTCTATGCGAAAAAATACCACTAAACGTCGAAATAATCGTAACCTCATTGGCTGCTGCCTGTAAAACATCAATTTTTGATGTTTTTCACTACCCATTAAGTAACAGATTGATTATTAGTCCCCTACCAACGAAGTCGAAGTGGACTTTAGGTTTGCACTCTGTCCGTCTGTCCGTCCGTCTGTCAGTCCGGCAACTCAGCTTTCCACACTTTTTTTCTTCGTTCTTGAAGATATTGATTTGATATTTGGTATATAGTTTTATCATGACAAGTCATAGATCAATTTCGAATTTTGTTCCGGTCTGATGATTTAATCCAGAGTTATGGTCCATAAAAAAACTCCATAACTAATGTTAGAGTACTATGTTAAACCAAATAATCTGTACAAAGGGAGATAACTCATTTTTTAAAAAGAAATTCTTTGGTAAATTGTTTGAGGAATTTTGTGGCAGGTTTATATATTATTTTGTATACTAATTTTCTAAATGCTACATGTATATATAAATATTTTTTTGTTATTAAGTGAAATCCTTTAATTAGATAATAATCTATTTTTATTAAGGTATATATTTCATTACATTACATTGTGTAGATAAAAGTTGTTGACATTTTATAGATATGTTACAAACTATATTAGTTTGTGACAAATGAAAGAAAAAATATTTGGAACTATTAATTATATTTGATTGTAATTTGAAAATAGATATACATTGTATTACATCATATCTAATTTTAGAGAACTATTAATCATATCTAATGTTAGAGCGATATAGGTTTTCCACACTTTTCTTCATCATGCTTGAAGATATTGATTGACAAGTGGTATATAGTTTTATCATGACAAGTTACAGATCAAGTTCAAATTGTTGTTTCGGTCTGATAATTTTGTGCAGAGTTATGGTCCTTGGACTTGAAAAAAATTCACTCATATATTCAGTTTTCCACACTGTTTTTAGTCATGCTTGGAAGATATTGACTTGATATTTTCTTTTTGTTTACACCATGACAAGTTATAGAACAAGTTAGCATTTTGTTCCAGTATAATAAATCTTTACCTGGTAGGGGACTATGTATTGCCATGCAATATTCTCAGAATGCTTGTTAGACTAAAAACGAAGTCATTAACCATATGATTATCTATATCATTAAAACAGAAATTTATGTATCAACAACATATAGTTTTTAAGAAAAATCTATGTACTGTAAATTCAGAAATTATTGCGTGCATTTATTATTGCGATTTTGTCATTATAGACTGAAATGCGATTTTAATTTTTGCGATATTGAGAAAAATCCTGTTTAATTCATATAAAAAATTTCAAAATGCGAGTTTAAATTATTGCGATTATAACCCTGTCGCATTTTTCGCAATAATATAAACATCGCAATAATTTCTGAATTTACAGTATTAGAAATTTAAGTAGGTTTTTCACCGATTTTATGTCCTTTCTATACAAATTTCTACCTATTTTTAAAGAATTCAGTCAGTAATATTTCAGATAATAAAAGAGATAAATGCATTATTTTTTCGATTTTCAGTTAAAGTTTGATGCAAAATTTTAGAAAAATCTGTGACATAGCCCATTTACTGTAACTTGACCTTAAATGATGTTGAAGGGATATTTCAATGTAAAGTACTTTATGAGAGGGGTTACTTCAATGTAAAAGGGTTAACTAACATGGCAACTGGCATGGTGTTTAGTTTTACCCAGCAGGCCATTGGAAGTATGCAGAACTTGTGGCAAAATGATCAATTTTAACCAGTAGATGCAGGCTGGATATTCCTTCTTTGGAGCTAATTTATTGAACAAGTTGAAATCCATTGGAATACAAAAGTTTCTGTAGCAGGTACTGACTGGGTTTTGGCACTCAAGCAATTTAGTTGGGAAATATGTACATATAGTTACTCTTCTTCAGAACTACTGACAAAAAACTATGTAGTATTTTGTATGCACTGACGAAGCGTTGTTTTAAGACAAATCAGCCAATTTTGTCACCTTATCACATGACCACCTCGGTTGTAATATGTTGCCTGGTTTGTCAGAGGATGTGGGTTTGATCCCTGGCCATATTAAACAAACAACTTTAAAGTTGGTATTTTCTGCTTCTCAGCTAAGTAAGTGACATATTTATGAAAAAGACCATAGACTGCATGGTTGGTTCTTAATCAGAATATTTATTATTATTAATGTGTCTAGATTTTGTGTTATGTCTTCCTGCAGATAGATACCCTGTGAACTAGCACATTTAAAATTTTCACATGTCTGTCTAGTACAAAGCAGCGTTGGTACTCGTATCACTTTAACGTGATCTCGTCCTGATATTCATGTAATATTTGCCACTGGAGGTCAAACACTGATCCACCAATCCCTTATCACATGAGATATCTGGAGGAATATCTTCTGAAAAAATACTAAATAAATTGTGCACAATGATCAAAAGAAAAAACACAGAGCACTGCACTGAAAACTAAAGATTGAGCAATATGATTTCAATTCATTTGACCAAAAACATGGGATTAATTCAGGTGCTATAGAAGGGTTTAGCAATACCTGCTTTACCATTGGTAACCATCATGAGAAACATGACAAGTAATAATCCTATCATTAAGTCCTGAAAAGATGAGGGACTGTGGCTACATGTATGTCTAATGAAAAAAATATGTGGTCATCTGTGAGTAAACTAAAACTTTAACACTAACAACACTTGGTTCAGTAGTATTTTGTAAGTACCAACCCTGGATCAAGGAATTTTTGATGTAAAACACAAGCACTTGAATAATTCTTATCGATGTTAACTCTATTTGCATGTGATGGTCGAAAGTCGCTACGTGGTAATGAACAGTCCACTTTGAGAAAATGATCTTTTTAGTCCTAAACAGACTCAGGTTCCATTTCTAGGTGTAAGTCACATTGTGATGCGGGCCTAGCTACTTGTATGGTTTATAGGAAATATGATATTAACAGTCCACACATTTTGAATTACTGAATGAAAGACCGGACATGATGTTAAAAATAATGCAAACTTTGATTCTCCATGAGAAGCCCTTGTATGAACTTGTCATTTGTAGATAACGAAACAAATCGGCACATAGATGAGGGTCTGGATGAGGGTCCATCATTTCTGTATTCTTTAATTTTTTAGATCACTTTTCTTTATTCTTTATTTATTTTGCCACTTATTCTCTATTCTTAATATTTTAGCACCCCAATATTCTTTATTCTCTATTTTTGGTGCCTATTTTTCTCTATTCCTAATTTTTTGTCCTTTATTCGGCACTTCTTGCCCATTATTTTGTATTCTGTAAACCCCATCCAGACCCTCTAGAGAAGTGACAATTGTTCGTTTTTGGAATTTCCACTCAGTTGGAAAGCACGATTATCATTTGAAAAACATGCCCACCAAATTAAACTACTAGTATCTATCATCTAAATAGTGCAAATTCAATGATTTTTTTGTGGGATCAGTTGTTAATCTCAAAGTATAATTTCTTCCTAACTACTGTACAACAAGAAGTTTACATTTACATTTACCATTCCTTTTTCTTTTTTATTAAACAATCAAATGTTCAATACTATTGCTCGAGGAAAGGGTCAGAATTTGATAGTATATACTCTAAAAGGTCTATTTTCTATGAAAATATCTGTCTAATTGAAGTAGTTAGTTCCACAGTTACTTTAAAGCCCGTTGTCGTAACTTCTGTCATCAGAGTAACTATTTTTACTAAGACTGAAAAATCAAGTATTCAGTACTTCTGTCACTAGAGTAGTCATGTTTACTTAGACTTGGAAGCCCAAAAGTAAGTACTTCTGTCAATAGATTAGTTACTTTTACTAAGACTTTAAAGTCCAGAGTCCGGAGTTCAGTAGCCGTCACTTCTGTCACTAAAGTAATTATTTTTGCATATACTTAAAAATCCCGTAGTCAGTACTTCTTTCACTAGAGTTTTTTTTTACTTAGACTTTAAAGTCTAGTAGTCAGTACTTCTGTCACTAGAGAACTATTTTTTTCTAAGACTTTAAAGTCCAGTAGTCAGTACTTCTGTCACCAGAGTAGTTATTTTTGCTTAGGCTTAAAAACCCAGTGGCCAGTACTTCTTTCACTAGAGTAGTTATTTTTACTTAGACTTTAAAGTCTAGTAGTCAGTACTTCTGTCACCAGAGTAGCTATTTTTACTTATACTTAAACATCCAGTAGTCAGTACTTCTTTCAC